CCTTATCGGTCTTAATTTCTGTGGGAACTCCCAGGGCCACTATGCATGCATGCATGTGACGGATGACATCTCTGGCACCTTCTCCAGCATGAGCAGAGGCCCATATAGCATGAGAGAAGGTGTCAATGCACACATGCACATACTTCAACCTGCTAAACTCATTAACATGAGTGACATCCATTTGCCAAAACTGTAATGCCTGTAAACTACGAGGATTGACCCCCAAGCCAATGATTCTGTCTTGAAAGGTACCAGCTGTGCTATTTTGCTGTTAGCGGGAATGAAAACTGGTGATGTTAAAGTATATACCATGATTTTGATGACTCCTGTAGCATCAGCATCTATCACTCTTGGCACCACAAAAATTTCCTGACGAGACAAAAATGAATGTTTTAACAAGAGAGCACTGAATTCTCTACCTAAAGGTTCTTACAATGTAAAAAATATTCTTTGATTAAAAACTCTTAATATCTATGTAATGCATTAGCAAGTTTACAAACACATATATATATATGTATATATAAACCCACACAATACTTTTTTCTTGCACACAATTGTCTTTCAAACAGTCATAAGGTGGCCACCTCATGCGTACTGCATTCACACATGCTTTCACACAGTGAAGCTTTTGTTTTTGGTTATAATACGATTAATATGCAACTCCCTATAGCAGAGGCTTCATCTTCTACGGGTCAGCAGGCTTCACAAAATTAGCAGGCGTCCCTGCAAAAGGCAACGTTGACCTTCATGTAAAGCCTGAAAAACCTGAGCATGAGCCATCTGTATTTCCTATTTAAAAGTTCCCACCATTTTTCTGTTTCTGATGGTCAGCAGTCAAATAATTACCATAAGAATTCATACACATATCGTATATATATTAGGAAACACTCCTTCTAATAAAGACTAATTGGGCTTTGATAAATAAATTAAAGTTATTACAGGAACACCTTTTGTACCGTTTCAGAACAACTTGTTTACAGGGCAAAGCAGTTTGTATGATTTTAAACCTTTTAAGTCATACACCTTTTGTATACAACAACTTATAAATTGTAAAATTTAAAATATCAATTTAAAGAATTTTGAAAAACTTTTTCTCCAAGGGCCCCTAATGCCCCACTGGAGCAGCCACAGAAGCTGCTCCCTCCTGTGCAACCACCCTTCTAGCCGCTCTGAGGGGCTGGGTTGCAGTGCGATGGAGTCAAAATTCTGCGTTGATATAGCTGTTGCTGTTTTCAGAAAGCAGGAGTAGGGTCGCAGCTTGCACCGCTTTTACTGCCGGGGTACAGCCACTGTGGCGTAGGGGAGATAAGACTTCTGTGCGCCGCCGCTGCTCTCGCCGCTCTCTGCGCCGCCGTGCTCCGTACCCTCGGTCCCGGGGGCTGTCCCGGTGTTTCGAAAAATGAGTTGATTCACGTTCTTCTGGGTTTGAGAGAGATGACATTTCAGCGAAGATGCGACTGTCAGTGCCTGCACTTCATTCTTACTTGTCGCTGGTGACGACGTAACGGCTGGCTCCGTGCCGGACGCATGCGCGATGGTTACCGTAGGTGGCACTGCGAGCGCAGGCGCAGAAGGTCCCGCTGCGACGACAGACTGCGCAGGCTTGGCTGCAGTTGTGGGCGTGCCGTCTGACGGTGTTGCCACGGGCAACGCAGGGACCGTGGGGAGGGGGGGGAGCTGCGGGCAACGCAGGCGCAGTGACGGTCGTAGTCCCTGGTTCGACTCCACCCTTGAGCTCCTCGGTTTTCGCCCCCCCCCCGCCGCAGCTGGAGCTAAGCCAAGCTGCTTTCTCGGCGCCATTAGGATGGGCACGGCCGCAGCACCGAACACGAACTGATCCGCAGAAGTTTTACTTTCAGAAACTTTCACTTCTGCCAGGTTCCCACCCTCTAAAACTGCGCGCGCAGACAGAGACACTCGCCGCTCGGCTCCCGTTTCTTCCAGCGCGTCTACTAGCAAGCGCCAGACGGGTGGGAACTTTTTAATTTCTTTAGACCCTTTAGAGGTCTCATCCCACAGTTTCTGACCCACAGTGACCCAGGTAGACACTTCAAAGGCAGCAGAAACACTGGGGATAAGGTCCCGTGACTTGGACCACTTTAACAGCTCTCTAAGAGCGTTCGAATCATAATTAGGGTCCTTTCTATAA